CCCTGTAACAATGTCTAGGATTTCTTGGTCTGAGGTTATTTCCCTCCATTTGTTTAGGAATCTGTTGATTCCCGATTTGTCCCCTTTGAGGGGCGAAAGGACCGGTAGTTGTTTGAGCGGTTACTTTGGTATTTGGAAAAACYGCGCGACTGGTTGGACTGCTTGGACCTTTGAATGTAATTTGGTTTACGATTTGCTTGTTGGTTTTTAGTGGGGACTGAGAGATTTTTGGCTAGACCCCTACTAAGTTCTGCCTGTTTAGAGGCTAAGGTGGGAAAATCTTCACCGAAAAACATAGTTTTGGCATTAGGCAAAGGTTCATCTGCCAGGTTAATTAATTTTTTTTTTTTTTTTTAATTATTTATTTATTTTTTGTTGCTAATAGTCGCTAGGACCCTTTTCCTGCGAACAGTTGAAAGGAGATAATTTGAAGAGCCTAGTAAGCGTAAGGCTTGTTCTAAAATGTTCTTAACCTGATTAGGTGACACTTCTTTCCCCGTTGATAGGGCATCGTGTAAGCAACAAAGTGGACCTGTGGTGTTTAGCAAAGCTTTTTGAGCCAAACATAGGTCTTTATCACGATTCTGGACAAATCTTTTTATTTGTGGATTGTTTATTGGATTTACAACTGAGGTATCTAGAGTGGGTGCCCTTAGGCAATCAAGTGAGGGAACACTGAAATTTTCAAGAATGTCTGACACCYGGTCATGGCTTAATTTCTTCCTAAAGTGCATATCTAGGAAGGTTGATAGCCCCTTGGTTGGTTCCCAGTAGGATGGTGTGGCCCCAGGGTCATACATTTCATCATCTATTAGCGTATTTTCGCCGTTTGTTGAAGCAGTTTCAGTTCTTGGAGACTCGGAGCCTGGATTGAGTAGCTTATCAGTCAAGATTGGTGGTCTATCATCCGAGTTTGGTGGCTTGACAGCCGAGCTTGGTGGCTTATTAGCCGAGTTTGGTGGCTTAATAGCCGAGTTTGGTGGCTTAATAGCCGAGTTTGGTGGCTTAATAGCCGAGCTTGGTGGG